TTTTGTATTTTTAGTAGAGACGGGGTTTCACCATGTTGACCAGGATGGTTTTGATCTCTTGACCTCGTGATCCACCCGCCTCAGCCTCCCAAAGTGCTGGGATTACAGGCGTGAGCCACCGCGCCCGGCTTTAATGGATTAAAAAAAAAAATATTCCACTTAAGTGCACCTATACCTCAAAATACCTCAAAGAGGATCTCCCTTTACAGTGTTGGCCCCCACTTAGCAGTAGATTGCTGTCAGTTACTGCTTGGTGCCTGCAAGCCTGCAGAAAGGGAGAAGGCAGTGAGGGACCAGGAGGTATCTCCGTTTCTCTGCTATTGGGCAGGACCTGTGTTCTTGAGTCTGATGAATATCTGGTGAAAGTCTATGCAGAAGAGCATGGGAGTAGACATGACTCTTCCTTGTTTCTATGGCTCCTAGAGGGTTCGTGCTCTCATCCTAGCCCACACTTTGCCTTTAGCAATTTGTTAAAAACATAGCTGAACTCTTTTTACCCAAATGATATATGATATCACTTCCCCCAGGGATCTGCCATAGGCGAGCCAGCATTCGCTCCCCATTCTCTCCTTGGAGGGGCCTGACTTAAAGATTTCAGAATAATTGGTTGCCCTGAGACCTGATCCTTGATGGGTCCAAAAAAAAAAGTAATGATTTTATAATTTATCTTTGATGCTTTCCAGCTTTCTCTATCTTAGACAGAAACAGAAGTCCCAATAGTTTGGGTGGGAGGAAGGTGAGGATCAAAAAACTACCCGCTGGGTCCTATGCTTATAACCTGGGTGATGAAATAATCCTTACACCAAACCCCTGTGACACCACTGCCGTTCACCTGTATAATCAACCTGCACATGTACCCCTAAACCTAAAATAAGGTTTTTTTTTTAAAAAAAAGTCCCCGAAATTTGATTATATGTGTATTCTTGTTCCTTTGTTTTTCCTGCCAGGGGTCTGTTGAGTTCCTTGGATCCAAATAAAAATAGGAAATTTTTCAGACATCATCTCTTCAAAGATTTTTCTACTCTTCTCTCTACTTGCTTTCTGAGACTTCCAATTACATATATGTTAGACTGCACAGGGAAGTGGGGTTCTGATCTTTTGGATTTTCATCCGTTTTTCTCTTTCTCCCTTCCCTTCCCTTTTTCCCTACTGATACATACTCAGTAGTAGGATTGCTGGATGATAAGGTATTTCTAGTTTTAATTTTTTGAGGACCCTTCCCTCTGTTTTCCATGTTGGTTATACTAATACACATTCCTACAAACAGTGTACAAAGGTTCCCTTTTCTCCACTCCACATCGTTGTTAGCACTTGTTATCTTTTTTATAATAGCCATTGTAACAGGTGTGGGGCAATACTTCATTGTGGTTTTAATTT